TTTCCCCTTGTACTCCTGCGGGGCCCACAGGCTCGACAGCCCAAGCATTTTCTATCTCAAGGCGAATACGCTGTGCGCGCATAGGCTAGGTGAGGTACATAAAAGCGTGGGAAGTGGGAGTGTGGAGTGAGCGGCAGTGTACACAAAGCGAAGTTGTGTCCGCACAGCAGCAGTCACCACAAGAACTACAGACGTTGAAGGTAGAATATATATGTTACGAGGAAAAGCACAAGCCAGCTAGAAATGTGCTAAAGTCTCACGGAGAGATTCATCGCCAGGAACTCATCGATGTCCGCCGTCATCAAGATCACGGGGCGGCCCTTCGCGACATACTGCTCCATGTAGGGAGAGGAAAGCGCCGTCTGCCAGCACCCAGACACCGCACAGCAGCTGTTTGCTCTAGCGTGCTCCTGGAATTTGCGTACAACGGTATACGGTTTAATACTCCTACTATAATTCGTGTCACTGCTCGTTCGCATCGGGCGAAGAGTCCTCCATGCTTCCTTGATTGAGATACAGAGGATGGTCCCTTGAGAAACCGCATACCGTTCTATCTGAGCAGCAGTAGTAGTAAAGGTGTTTCTGTTTTGCTGGCATTTTCTCGAGGTATTCGTCTAAAGTAATCATCTTGCCAGCCTCCTCAGAAGAGCATTCAAACCTGCGATGCAACAGGTGAGCGCACGCCAATGCTGTAATATATGGGGAACAAATACGAAGCACCCAGCCGCATGCTGAGACGAAATCAAGGANCACGCCAATGCTGTAATATATGGGGAACAAATACGAAGCACCCAGCCGCATGCTGAGACGAAATCAAGGACAGAACAACATATCAACTCCCCAACGGACCCCATGTTCCTGTAAATGTGTGCTTTGGTCAAACACTTGCTAGCGTCCCTCATCATGGTCACTCATGATGAGACGCTGGCAAGTGTTTGACCAAAGCGCACAGCGCAAAGTGTTGACACATGTCGCGGAAAAGGGGCCGACAGCAGACAGCCAGCTGGATAGAGAGGGTATACAGGAAAAGAGCTAGTTCTCTTCTATCGAAAGCACAAAAATGCCACAGAGGAAAAGCATGCAATCCACACTCATTCCCTTCCAAGCAAGAAACGCCTCAGCCCCCTTCGAGCAGGTAAGGCCTCACCGAAGGAGAGGCAGCAACATGTCTTTGTAGGTGCTGCCACTGTGTGCATCCTCCAAGACGCCTTCTTTTATGTTTTGAGAGTACTTCTGGTAAAACTTCTGATACTTCGCAGGGTCTGATTTCATCTGCAGGCCCACACAGCACAAAACAAAGTCGCTGCCCTCCCAAAGAGCAAAATAACATCAGCATGTCAGTGAAAACGCCTGCACGGGTTCGCCGGGAATCGCAGATGTCATCATTTGATACTGAATTAGCCATGTACACAGTGCCACTCCAGAATACCCCTGGGCGATCTACTGGGTATACGGTTCCACCAGTGGCACATGGCGGAGAAACGATGTCTGAGACTCTGGGGGCACTTTTAGCCCCTGCTGGCATAATCGCTCTTGTACGTCTTTGCTATTCATCCTGGATGCGTTAAACAAATGCATCTAAGGGCAAAGTAGCCCCCTGATATACAGAGATCTACTATTTCCCTTCGCAGTCGTATGGGAATACTANTCTAAGGGCAAAGTAGCCCCCTGATATACAGAGATCTACTATTTCCCTTCGCAGTCGTATGGGAATACTAGACGTCTCTGAGGCAGGCTGTACGAGCCCTGAAGGGGTTGCTTTGTGGTGGCTGCAGGTGAAGTAACTTGAAGAGGCATATTCGCTGAGGCTTACCTGGTCGTTGAGGAACCTGAGGATGCGCTTAACGACGACTGTAGACAGCTTGCGCTGCAGCACAGAATCTTGCATGTGCTCTCTGCTGACGTTCAGGGGGAGGTCCTCGCAGTCTATGATCCCTCGGAGGAACCAAAGCCACTTAGGAAGAAGATCCGTGGCGCTCTTCTTCACGAGCACACGACGAGACAGCAGAGAAACCCCACTCTCCAGAGGACCTGTCTGGAAAAGACGGTTCGGGGGGTCCGCCGGGAAGTACAAGACGGACTGCAAAGATGCAGACAGGCAGACGGCTCCAAAGACACAATAGTAGTAATTGGCCCAACATCTCTCACACGCGACAGACAAGCAGACAGATACACATTAAATGAGAGTCCCGCTAAATGAAATGCAACTAGGGAAGCAGAAACAGAGAACCCGTTGCAGAGGCCCCAGATGTGCATAAGCACCCCGCCGCCACGTGCACCTGTAGCCCTGTTAGTACCAGCTACAGAAGGAATCTCGACGAAAACAACAGCACCATTTGAGTACAGGAGATCGCAACCCACGCTGTACGCGAACTGTCGTGAGA